CTCAGAGCCTGGAGCCTGTTTCAGATTCTGTGTCTCCCTCTCTCTCACCCTCCCCCGTTCATGCTCTGTCTCTCTCTGTCTCAAAAATAAATAAACGTAAAAAAAAATTAAAATAAAATAAAATAAAATAAAATTTATGGTTTTAATTTTATTATGTTTTTATTTTAGAGAGAGTAAGTGAGCATAAGCAGGGGAGAGGTGCAGAGGCAGGAGAGATGGGGTGGGGTGGGGGGGGAGAATATTTTAAGCAGGCCCCACACTCAGCATGGAGCCCAATGCCGGACTCAATTCCATGACCCTGGGATTATGACCTGAGCTGAAACCAAGAGTCAGGCGCTCAACCAACTGAGCCACCCAGGCAGCTCTCTATTTTCTATCTCTATAGATTTGTTTATTCTGGGTATTTCATAAAAATGGAATCACGCAATATATGGTCTTTTATAACAGGCTTCTTTCACTTAGCATGTTTCAAGGCTCATCTATGGTATAGCACATATCATTACTTCATTTGTTTTTATGGCCAAATAATTTTCCATTGTACAGCTATATCACATTTTCTTTCTTTTCTTTTTTTTTTTTTTGTTAAATACAATTTTATTGTCAAGTTAGCTAACATACAGTGTATACAGTGTGCTCTTGGCTTCAGGAGTAGATTCCCATGATTCATTGCTTCCATACAACACCCAGTGCTCATTCCAACAAGTGCCCTCCTCAATGCCGTCACTCATTTCCCCCTCTCTCCCACCCTTCCCCATCAACCCTCAAGTTTGTTCTCTGTATTTAAGAGTCTCTTATGGTTTGCCTCCCTCACATTTTATTTTTCCATCAAATGATGGCTGTTTGGGTTGTTTCCATTTATTGGCTACTAAGAACAATGATGCTGTGGACATCTGCCCGCGAGTTTTTGTGTAGAAATGTGTTTTCATTCCAAATGATTTTTGAAGACAGTATTTGGACCATTTTCCCTCTGACAAAAAAGAACTATAAAAAATATTTAATGGGGGGCGCCTGGGTGGCGCAGTTGGTTAAGCGTCCGGCTTCAGCCAGGTCACGATCTCATGGTCCGTGAGTTCGAGCCCCGCGTCAGGCTCTGGGCTGATGGCTCGGAGCCTGGAGCCTGTTTCCGATTCTGTGTCTCCCTCTCTCTCTGCCCCTCCCCCGTTCATGCTCTGTCTCTCTCTGTCCCCAAAAAAATAAACGTTGAAAAAAAATTAAAAAAAAAAATTTAATGGGCTTGTTTTTCACAGAGGTATGGGTTAGAAAATCTGAAATGAATTTTTGTGTACTCTAGAACTAAGCAAATAAGTAAATATCCTAAAGATAGCGGGAGCCAGGTCTCTCACAGAGAAAGGTATCACAAATAATGAAAAGGGAAGACTAGAATGAATCCTGTGGAGTTGGGTTGAATTTGGAGATCTTACTACAAACTCATGATTTTAGTATAGATAGATACATAGGCAGAGAAATAGACATAGATATAAATCCTAATTCTGCCTACTGAGAGAGGGCTTAAAGGAATGACACTCTAGGAACAATGAGCACTTCCAATGCCTGGAACGTGGTTTCTAAATACCATTCTCTACTGAAATGAATCAGGGCTCCTTAAAGAAATGGCTGATTTCAGAGCTGGGGCAGAAAAAGTACAAGTTTAGCCTGGAACATCTTGTTATGCCAGGATAAAAAGAAGAATGTTTGAAGAATGATGGGGTCATGTCAATAGGAGTCAATAGAAGCCAGCCTGAAGGGGCTCCCATTAGACAAATCTGGGACAGTCTGACCATCAAAATAAATAATGGTGGTGATGGATAAGCACTGAATAAAATAGAAATTGACGAGACCAAACTGATATAAGAGTGATATAAGAGTTCCTTATATTAGAGTGCCAACTGAAAAATGTAAAAAGAATGATGTATTTAGAAAATTATCATCTGGCAAACATAATATCAATTGATTCAGACAAGGATCATAAATGGATGCTGAAGTTAATGAGTAAAAGCCTGATACATAACAGTGTATTTGCATAATACTAAAGTATCTCCTCACAAAATACTCATTATGAATAAAGGGAAAAAAGAGGAACTTTACAGTGTAGAAACTGGCGGACCCCACCTTAATCCAAATGCTCAAAACTGTGGCATGCCAGAGTCAACTCACCCCAACTCAGGGGCAGCACGTCTCTTCCCAACTTTGTGTTCAGTGATGACATAACAGTAGCTTGAAATTGGCCATTTACAAGTGGAAAGTGACAAATACTACAAGTCAGGGCTTCTCTTCCTCTGGATAACCAGCTGTTAGACATTTATCAGCATAACAGTGGATCAAAGTTACTGCCACCGGACGAACTAAGTTATGTGCCTCCGGATACTGCACACCAACAACACAGCATCACTCTGCCAAAAACGTATAACCGCAACCTAATGATGAGAAAGTATCAGCAAAAAACTAAATTGGGAGACGTCCTACAAAATAAGTGGCCTGTGTTAGCAAAATATCGGGGTCATGCAAGACAAAAGAAGATTTTGATGGTTAATTTTACATGTCAGCTTGACTGGGCTAAGGGATGCCCAGATAGCTGGTAAAACCTTATATCTGGGTGTGTTTGTGAGGGTGTTTCCAGAAGAGATTATTAGCATTTGAGTTGGCAGACCAATAAAGAGCACCCTCACCAATGCAGCGGAGTACTATCAAATCCACTGAGGACCCGAACAGGACAAAAAGGCAGAGGAAGGGTGAATGTGTTCTCTGCCTGAGCAGGAACATCCATCTTCTGCCCTCAGACATCACTGCTCCCGGTTCTCAGGCCTTTGGGGTTGGATAAGGACTTACACCATTGCGAAGTTGCAGATGGCAGATCATGAGACTTCTCAGCTCCCACAACCACATGAGCCAATTCCTATAGTAAATTTCTTCATATAGAAGTATATATACATGAATATATGCATACGGAGATATGCAAGCTCATATATATATATATACACACACACACATACATGTATGTGTGTGCGTATATGTGTGTAAGTATATATGTGTGTATATATATCTCCTATTGGTTCTGTTTCTCTGGAGAATCTTGACAAATACAACGACTAAGAAAATGTTTCAGATTAGAGGGGGGGATAAAGCGACTTGACAACCAAAGGCAGTATGTAATCCTGATTGAATCTTAGCCTAGAAAAAAAAAATGTTTGTTATTAAGGTCATCACTGGGACCTTAACTGCTGAAATATGAACAAAATCTTTAGATTATAGTATTGTAGCAAAACTAACGTCCTGATTTTGACCACAGTACTATGGTTACATAAAAGAATGCCCCAAATGCATACAGAAGTTTTTAGGGGTTGGGGCGCATCAGTATATGACTCCCTCTCAGGTGGGTCTCAGGAAGAAAGGAAGGAAGGGAGAAATTTTCGTTGAGAAAAATGATAAAGCAAACGTGGCTAAACGTTAACAAAAGGCAAGCTGGGTGTCGGACATCCAATTTTTTGTACTATTCTGGGCACTTCTCTGTAAATTCGAAATTACTTAAAAGTTTAAAGCCATAAGGAAAAAACCGTGAACGCTACCTGGTGCTCTGCGCTCATCTTTGTGGATGCAGTCAGATGGAGACGGTGAGCCAGGACTTTTCCGAGGCCTCGAGCACCCGAAGGCTGCGGGGTCACAACACAAGCAAAAGCAGCGTCCACCACCGACCGGCCCGGGGAGCCACAGAAGGCTCAGGCTCCCGGCACAGGCGCAGGAGAACAGCTCCCTCAGCACCTTCCTGCGTCTATCCGGGCTCTCACATTGGCCGGGGGCTTGGTGACGTCAAGTGCTTTACAGCCTGGTGCTCAAGCTGCTCGAGGCTCTGCGGGAGCCTCAGGTGTGAGGGCCTCGCCTCCAGGTGACCCCAGGTGCAGGCTCGTGGCATCTCAGCCAGGGATCTGGGCCGCAGTGGGCGCCCCTTTAGCAAGTGCATATTCTTTTTTCTTTTTAATGTTTGTTTAATTGATTAATTAATTTTTGAGAGACCGAGTGTGAGTGGGGGAAGGGTAGAGAGAGAGGGAGACAGAATCTGAAGCCGACTGCAGGCTCTGAACTGATGGGGGGGGGCCTGAACCCAGGAGATCATGACCCGAGCTGCAGTGGGAGGCTTAACCGACTGAGCCACCCAGGCGCCCCCAGAGTCGTTAAAGACAAGACTCTCAGCCTCAGATGGCTAACATCCACCCCCACCCAAGCCCAATGTTGTAACCACGGGCCCACTTTCCTCTTGATTTGGGGTCCTGGTATCAGGTAGTGGGGACTCACAGCCATGGAGAGAAGTTGGGAGCTCCCTGTGAAGGCAGAATTCAGTAAAAGCATCTTCTTCAAAATCCTTAATGTTTCCTTAATGCTGTCTTCAAAACCCCCAATGTTTGTGGTCCAGGTGGTGTTAGTAAATTTCCAGCGGGGGAGGTGGAAACCTCGGCAATACCAGCTGGCCACGCCCCCCCTGGGGCGGGGGCCAGCAGGTTGTTTCTGGGCTTTCTCATGATCAATTCGTAGGAAATTGCACATAAATGTGTCCCAGCCTTTCAAAGCCTGTTCTGATCCACAGCTTCCTGCTCAAGGAGCACTGGGACAGGCAGCAGGTGGTGGGGTACGCCAAAGGTATGGTGTTTCTGCCGCTTACCGGGTTCCATTTTCCGATGAAAACCGATTTATAGGATGAAGCCATGGTATTTGAATTTTGAGGTAAAAAGAGTGGGTGGTGCAGATAACAGACTGAGGTGCTGCTAAGCCATGTTGATGACTGTGAGTTTCCTCATTCCTGTATAGACAAGGAGGATTATTTCCACTGTCTCAATCATTTTATAGTGCTCTGCACATTCTGAAGAATTGGAGTGATCATTCTGCCGTCAGCTGTGAATCGGGAAGTAATTCTGCGTATGTGGCACTGCCATCATTCTTTAAAATGTTTTGTAAAAGCATTGTCTTCCTGTTTGTGGAAGAAGTTTTGAGATTCCCCATGTTCTCAAATGCTGAGCAGTGAAAGGAGACTGAATAACCCAGTTATGATCTGTGTCTTCATTCTGTATTCACGGAATCTGATTATCATCACTTCTCTTTTTCTTTTACCCCCTACCCCCAAACAAGATGAAAGGATTCCATAATGAAAAGGGTGAAGGAAACAGGACTGTTTATTTCAATGGAGCAAGCAGGCAGATCAAGCAAACTGAAAACACATAATCGACAATGTATTGGGAGAGGGTAAATGGATTTTTAATGATTCACAGCAACCACATTTATCCCCTACTGTTACTAGAGAGAAAAATGTCTTCAGATAACCAGTGGTCAGCAGATGGGGAGGAAAGCCCACTCTCACGACTGATTAGGAAATCTAGAGACTCCCCTTTTGTCCCCGTAGGTAAGTACAAGCCTTGACTGGACACTGGAGAACTGTCTGTAATAATAATAATGCCTTACCCAGTATCTTTGAGAATGGAGATGTTTTACATCATTGAACTTTTAAGATAACTGAAGCTAAGCCTCTCTAAGCAGAAGTTAAACTTTCAGAACAGTTTCTAGTAGATGGCAAATCCCCAGTAAATGTTAGCTATTTTTATTACGAAGCTTCAAATCTTACTTAACTCCTCTTCATTCGAGGTCTATCTCAAATTCCTAGTTTCCAGCCACTCTAACTGGAGTTGAATGAACTTTAACACTTCTATGATGACTAGATCATTAGCAGCACCCGTTTATTACATTGAAAGTCTAAGAGTGACTACTGAGATGTGTATGTCTCTTTCTGTGCTAACTCCAACCTTTAAACTCTTGTGTCTGATGTTTATAGATTTTTCTGTCTCTTCCATTAATGTTGAGTGCAATCAAAAACTTCTGCTTCTAGTATTCTGTGGCACCAGAAGCTAGCTACCCAAGTTTAAAAGAACTGTGAGTCAATTCAGAGTAAAGAAGCTCTGAATGAAAAAGCCTAGGCCTACCTACTTGTCTGTACACTTGAGAGCGTGAACTTTGTGATGTTCATGTTCAATGGCCCTTTTTGCTGGTTTCCTGAAGTGTTCCAGATGTTGAGGTTGATGGTTAAATAAACTCTAGATTAAAGAAGTGGTATTATAATTAGACCTGGAGGCTTAGCCTGTTTGTCTTTTCCCGACACAGACTTAATATGCCTACATTTAGAACAAATACTATATGTAAGTGGACTTAGACACACACACACACACACACACACACACACACACACACACACACACAATCTAAACACCAATATTATGTTTTAAAATCTAAGTTTTCTCTTTCTTCTTTTGGATGCTTTAGCTGATGCAAGCATTATTATTGTATACTGCAGCCATGCCTCTTGCCTGGTGTTCATTTGGTCTGGAAGCTATTAAAATAACTTATTTAAATGAGACTTACATTATGTAAGTTACACTGACATAGGTGATTAATTCCCTAAAGCCTTCTGAATAGGTATATCATTGGGTTTCTATTACCACTGCAAATCTAGCAACCTTGTGTCATTATTCACATATTAAAAAGAATCAAAATTTTACTTTATACTAATATGCTGTTTATATGTTTAATTTCACTTGGTTAAAACTTGATAATAGCACCTATAAGAAATGGAAGCAAATAATGTTATAGTGATTCATCTTCCTTAGCATTTTTAACTGGAAAAACAATTCAAGAACTTGTTGCCACTTGAACAGATCACTATCATGAATAGAGAGATTAATCACTGTGCCCACTGCAAATTAAATAATTTTTCCAGAGACATTTAGGGTGATTAAAGTAGTAAGATAAAAGTGTTTCCAGCTAAATTCAATTACATATAAACTACACAGAGACACTACATGGAAAACAGTAAAGGTTCTGACTTTAATCTCCAAAAGAAACAAAACCAATTTAACTAAGAACAGAGCCTTGATTTGATAAGGGAAGAGAATCAAGTTTTTGCTAGAAAAATAAATGACAAAATCTGAATATATATTATTGAATAGTTTGTTTAGCTATTGTTATTTTAATAATATCTACTATATATTTCCTGCTGCAGGGAGTGAGCTGTGCCGAAAACTCACAAAACATTTTTATCTTCAACAACTTCCATCATTAAATATATCTATAAAGAGATATATTTACATTCCACCAATAAATATTTTTATTGTCTTCAACAACTTCCATCATTAAATATAAATAGATATATTTCCATTCCATCAATAAATACAATCTATATTGCTTAAAATTATTTTATGAACATTGTTAAGGTCTCTGCACACATTATACATATTGAAACTCCTTGCTATGCTTATAATTTTTGTCGTAGCTATGGCAGTTCTTCCTCTGTTTGGGACATTTGGGTTGTTCAGGTTTTCTTCATACATAGCGTAGCCATAAAGATCTTTGTGTCAACTTCTTGACGTTTCTTTTGCTTATTTCCTTGGAGTATGAATTTTTAGGGCAGGAAGTACATCTGATTTAACACCCCTTATTATATATTTCCAGAAATCTTTATAGAGTTGGCTACACTCACAGAGCTTTCAGCATTGTACCTGTTTCTCAACATGCCTGCCACTATTCTATTATTACTTGTTTTTTGCTGTTTTTGTCATTTTAATTTTGATTTCATTTGCTAATCGGCCTACAAAATATACGTGTCAATGCAATTACTCTCTTACTTCCACTTATTAAATGGATTCTGAAAGAATGAATATATCCTCACCCACCTATAGAGGCATACATGTGCCAACATAACTAATCAAAATTTGCTATCCTACATAAATATCAACTGAATTTCCATGTATTAACAACATACAGAAACTGAAATTAAAAACATAACCTCATTTCCAGTCACTCCAAAGGCAATGAAATGCTTAGATATATGCTTAACAAAACATACATGCAATCTGTATGCTGAAAATTATAAAATGTTAATGAAAGAATTAAAAAAGGACCTAAATAAATGTAAAGACCACAGGTAGTATTGTGTTCATGGATTAGAAGACTTTCCCCAAATTGATCTACATGTTTGTGTAATTCCCATCAAAATCCCAGTAAGTTTTTTTGTAGATAAGACATGCTTACTCCAAAATTTACATGTAAAGGGGTGCCTGGGTGACTCAGTCAGTTGGGCTCTGATTCTTGATTTTGGCTCAGGTCATGATCTCTGGGTGAGTTTGAACCCCACGTCGTTGGGATTCTCTCTCTCTCAAAAATAAATACACTTAAAAAAAAATTTTTTTTTTTAAGGACACCTGGGTGGCTCAGTAGGTTAAGCGTCCTACTTTGGCTCAGGTCATGAGCTCACGGTTCATGCGTTTGAGTCCCGTGTCAGGCTCTGTGCTGACAGCTCGGAGCCTGGAGCCTGCTTTGGGTTCTGTGTCTCCCTCTCTCTTTGCCCCTCCCCTGCTCACACTCTGTCTCTCTCTCTCTCTCAAAAATAAATAAACATTAAAAATTCGTTTTTAAAAATTGTTTTAAAAATAGTTTTAAAAAGTCAATAAAAGGGGCGCCTGGGTGGCGCAGTCGGTTAAGCGTCCGACTTCAGCCAGGTCACGATCACGCGGTCCGTGAGTTCGAGCCCCGCGTCGGGCTCTGGGCGGATGGCTCAGAGCCTGGAGCCTGTTTCCGATTCTGTGTCTCCCTCTCTCTCTGCCCCTCCCCCATTCATGCTCTGTCTCTCTCTGTCCCAAAAATAAATAAACGTTGAAAAAAAAATTTTTTTTTTAAAAATCAATAAAAAATAAAATTTACAAGTAAAGGCAGAAGTCCTAAAGTGGCTAAAACATTAAAAAACAAGGATAAAGTGGGAGAAATCACTCTACCTGATATGGAGGCTTACTATATGGCTACAGTAATCAAGACAGTGTGGTGTTGATGGAGGGACAGATACACAGACCAACAACATAGGAGAGAAAACCCAAAAAATAGACCCATGTTTTCATTATGCAAAAGTTTTCTTTATTCTTATGTCAAAATGGCATTTTGCCCTTATCATTTTCTCTTAAGTCTATTTTACCCTCTTTTAGATGTTACAAATATGCTGTTCCTCTTTGTTTTTATTGGTGTTTTTGTTTTGTTTTTACATTTAATTCTAACTCCTGCAGAATTTTTTTTGGAGGGTCTGCTGTGAGATACAAATCCAAATTAGTTCTTTATACCAACAAATTGTACCGATGGAATTTATTAAATAATTACTCCTTTATCTGTTATTTGGTTATTTTGATTTGTCATGAATTCTCAGTGTTCTCACAGTGTTTTAAATCTGTTTCTAGAATATTTCCTATTCAGTTGATTGGTTTTCTGTCTTAGAGCCAATTACACAGGATCTTGGTTGTCACAGCAGCATATTCACCCCTTGACACTGGTAGGGAATACAAAAATATTTGCCCTTCTGGAGTCTCCTAGAGTCATAGTTCTTTTTGGAGTCACACACTTCCTGTGCAAATATTCATACCTTTCCATGTCTCATTACAATTCAAATATCTCATTTTTACGGAAGATCAAAAATGTTCTCATTTTACGAGATTTACTCCTTACTTGATAACAAGTAGACAGGAGTAAAGGCAAACATTCGAAAGCTATGGATGCTGGGATGTTTGTTGTTGGTTCACTCACTGGCTAAAGTGACTTGCCCCAAATAAAAGTCTCTCAGCATGCACAATCTGAAATCATGCCTCAGGAAAAAGAGAAATTACTACACTCTATGATTCGGGGTTTTCTGGGAAGAGTCAGAAACTGCAAATATTGAATCCATAAATGTTAAGGGTCTCTTTAAAAAATCTGTGGATCAAATCCAGCATGGTTCTTTTTAAAGTATTCTCTGGTATCTTCCCTGCTTATCTTCCAAGTACTGATCCTTTGGACAGTCTTATTCAGCTCTCTAAATGGTGGGGATTCTAGCCTACTATTTACATAACCTCTACTTTTTTCTTTCACAGGAATAGCAGGCTTTATGACTGTGGTGTCCTATGGTCTTTACACGTTAAAGTACAGAAGGGATCAGAAAATGTCCATTCATCTTATTCACATGAGAGTTGCTGCCCAAGGATGTGTTGTAGGAGCTGTGACTCTAGGTAACCTGCTTAATTTGTATATTGTGCTGTCTTTGTGAGTATTTTTATTTATTTTATTCAATCATATTGGAAAATGAAAATTGGGTTAAGATGATATAATGGAGGAGGAATGGTAAGAAAGACCATGAACTTCACTTGGTTGAAGTTGCTTCCCCATAATAGGCTTAATTTCTTGGTATTTTAAGCACTGAAAGAAAAACAACCAGTAGACAAAAAGTACAAACGTCCACTTATAAAATAAATAAGTGCTGGGGATGTCATGTACATAGTGGTGACTATAGTTCATAATATAGTTCATATAGTTTTGCATATTTGAAAGGTGCTGAGAGTAGAGAGTAGATCTTCAAAGTTCTCATCACAAGAAAAAAATTCTGTAAGTATTCATGGTTACAGACACTAACTACACTTACTGTGGTGATCATTACAACATATAGAAATAACAAATCATTGTTGTACACCTGAAACTAATATAATGTTATAGGTCGATTATAACTCAGTTTAAAACAGAGGGGGCACCTGGGTAGCTCCGTCACTTGACAGTCTGACCCTTAATTTCGGCTCAGGTCATGATCTCACGTTTTGCGAGATCGAGCCCTACATTGGGCTCTGGACTGATGGCGTGGCACCTGCTTGGGGTTCTCTCTCTCCCTCTGCCCCTCCTCACTCTCTCCCCCTCTCTCTCTCAAGATAAATAAATAAACATTTTAAAAAGGTAGAGAACTAGGTTTCGGGTTCTGTTATCTTGTATTATGAAAGGAGCAGTGAATAGTTTGTACCCTCTGTAACCCAACTAAAGCAGTGGTTCTAGATTCCAGCCTTTACTGCTCACCTAAGAGCAGCATAGTTCTTGGACTATTCGAACAGCAGATATAATTACTGATGTAGTTTAACTGGGAAGAATACATTTTTTGGAGCCCACAATCTCCACATCTGTTCTCCTTTTAGTCCGGTCTGAGCAATAGGCAATCCTTTTTTAATCAGTCTATAAATTAGGCTATACTTAACATAGTGAAATACAAAGAAAAGGTGTAAAATTATCTGGTTAATTCCAGTTATATCAACAGCTAAACCAGATAGTTCTAACAAGAAATCTACTTTGGGGATCTAAATTATATATATATATATATTTTTTTTTTTTTTGGGGGTCCACATTAATGAAAACAAGTTACAATGTTCTTAGTTCTCTTTCATGCTGTGCAGAGTAGAATCAGCCTAAGCGTAGGTGTAGGATTATGGAATGAGCAGTGTGGGGATTGTGTATAGGGAGTTATATGGTAATTATCTTACTACCATGAGCTGTGATACACAGGTGTTAACAAAATACAAGAAGCCTCACTACAAAGTTACAGTGCTCATTTTCATCATTTAGCAAACATTTATTGAGCTCTTGCTATGTGCAAAGCACTGCACTGGTCTAGAGATACAGAGATAAGACTCAGTCCCTACCCTCAAACAGTTTGGTCTCCTTAGGGAGAGACACCAACAACAGAAGACCATATAAACTCACAGATGCTATGACAGAGATAGCACAGGTTGTTGCTATGGAAGCACAAGCAGAAAGGAGGGGCATTTAACTAGGGCTGAGAGTCCAGGAGAGGCTTCCCTAAGGATTAAACCATATGAGGGGTGCCTGGGTGGCTCAGTCAGTTAAGCATCCAACTTCAGCTCAGGTCTTGATCTCGCAGTTCATGAATTTGAGCCCTGCGTCGGGCTCTGTGCTGACAGCTCAGAGCCTAAAGCCTGCCTCAGATTCTGTATCTTTCTCTCTCTCTGCCCCTCCCCCACTCACGCTCTGTCTCTCAAAAATAAATAAACATTAAAAAAAAATGAAAAGTAGATGTGGGGGTACGTGGGTGGCTCAGTCAGTTGAGCGCCCAACTTTGGCTTAGGTCATGATCTTGCAGTTTGTGAGTTCAAGCCCCACATGGGGCTGTCAGCACAGAGCAGGATTTGGATCCTCTGTCCCCCTCTCTCTGCTCCTCCCCCGCTTGCACTCTCCCAATCAATCAATCAATATTTTTTTTTTTTTTAAGTAGATGTAAAGTGAGAGAAGCAAGAAAAATCTGGAAGCTACAAGGATGAGCTGAACACATAGGATAGACTGGAACCCTTGTGGGTTTCTCACCATCTCTAAGCCTCTGAATTCGATGATGGGAGTGACAGAGGGAAAAATGATGCCCTTCATCTTGGAGATAAACATGAACCGAGCCAAGGAGTCAGAAAAGGTGAAGGAGGAAATTAAGCAGATCCACAGTAGATGCATTCCTAGTTGTTGCCCCATGCCAACAAAGTGGACCAGCAGATAAACAAACATGTGCTGCCTTCCAAGAAAAAAATGAATTTAGCTGCTGCTTCACTTCTGTCCTCTATATCTTATGCAAAGTGTTTCTTCTGCAATAACTCAGGGAATAAACGGAAAGGAATTCTGGAAATGTAGTTATTAGTTTAGGGTTAAGTTGACACAACACAAACTTACCACTAGGCCTTGTCAACCTGGCATCCATGTACATCTCTTTTAATACACTTAACTTTCAAATAAAGACAATGGCAAAATCAACCATCCATTGTATAACCAAAAACATGCTAATTCTGTCCCAAAAGAGGATACAAAAATCCTTTTACCCATCTTTGGGTGGTGTTGATTTGTCTTTGAATAGAGTCACATTCCTGTTTGATATCCTGTAACCTAAATCCTGAAATATAAGATTAAGTATTATTAACACTTTTTACATTAGATGGCAGATAAATGGAAGTAGCAAATAGAAAAAAATTAATGTATATACAAATGTATTCATATCAAAATAAGGAAGAAATATTCCCATCAGACTTTGTTTCTACAACTGGTCGGATGGTCATGGCTGGTATTATAACTATGTTCTTCCACTAGTCATTTCTTACTCACTTTGCCTTCAGCAAGCACCTTGGCTATTCCAGGTTATTTGACTAGAATGGTGACCCACACCTTCATTCCTAAATGGTCTGGGTCCTTAGCCAGTCTGCTTGTATTGGGTATAGTTTTCCACGGTCTTTAATCACAGGACATGGGAGTACTAAAAAATGCCCAGAAGATACATGCATTCCACACATACCTCCTTACCTTACCATTATATAGTAGTACCGTAATCTCCCCTTGATAGATCAGATCAATGTAATGGATTAACGTGCTGTCCTGTGCAATGGAGCGATGATCAAAGTCCTTGCAGACCAGATTATGGTATAGTCTGGAGAATTCAGGCAGCCCTGAGACTGAATAGTGAAAGTATACTCTTGGCCCAACCGGGTGAAAGCAAAATGCTTTTGGTAGTTTTTATTAAAAACTCTAGAGAATAAAGCAATCAGCCAGATTCATAGCTGCGAATCAAACAGCAAAGATGCTTGTATCAATAGGCTCTAGCAATGAAACCACACCTGGACAACAGCTGCAATTAGAGTGATCATCTGATTAAGTTTATAGAAATCCATTATCATTTTTCAAGAGCCATCTGTCTTCTAGCCAAAGAGGCAAATGAATTGGTATGTGGTAGGAGTCCCCACCCTAGCATCTTTAAAGTCCTTGATGATGGCACTAATCTCTACAGTCCATCTAGGAATGCAGTACTGCTTTGGTTTACTCTTTTGGTAGATACAGGCAAGTAGAACGGCTTACAGTTGGCTTTCCCCACCATAATAGCCCTTACACCCCAGGTCAAGGAACTGATGTGAGGATTCTGACAGTTGCTGAGTATGTCCCTTCCAGTTACACATTCCAGAACTGGGGAAATGACAATCCAAATGACATATGGATTTAGGGGCCCACCAGGCCAACTGCAAAATGGACCCACAGCAAAACTCCACTGACCACCTGACCTTCATAAATTCCTAGCTTGACTGGTAGACCGCCCTAATTCTCCAGGCATTAGTATCAATTCAGAGCCAGTGTTTCATAATCTCACAAATGTGATCATTTGCCATTCCTTATGCATAGGCATCTTGGTGAAGGGCCACAGATCTGTTCATAGTATTTACTTTTTGGTTGTGTTAACAGCATCTTTTCTTAAGGAGATCTGACTTCTCCTTTATTCAAGGGACTCTGGGTCTGTGAAGTGACTCAAATCTGGGAATTGGTTGGGGGCCCATGGCTGTCTACTGTGATGATTCAAGTTACACTTTTGTTCACCAAACCTAGAGCTTTTCTGCTTAAATGTTGCCCACCACTTTCAACTCTAGGGACACCATAATCAATTAGACAATGCCAAAGGTCTTTATGGCTTAGCCTATTCTGATTACTGTTTAGTCTTTGCTGCCCATTACAGTAATCACACTTTCCTCGTCTTTGTCAATTAAATGGTGCTCCTTGACCCCTGCTTCTCAGGATCCCACCATCTCCACTGAATTCAGGAAGCTTAGCAGTTTCCGCCGTCATTTCTGGTTACAGAAGATAGTTGCCACGCAACTCTCCAAGGATGCCAGGGCTCCCTTCACGAATGTGTTTTTCCCAGCCTTGGTGAAGGGAGTAGATATATTTAGGGGGTGAATGAGCAGGATAAATCTACCTTAACATTCCAATCTCCCTAAGCCTTTGGATACCTTCCCAAATGTCAGGGTATCTTAGTCTCGGCACTACTGACATTTTGGACTAATTGCTCTTTGTTGTGGAGGGCTGTCTTGTGCATTACAGGATGTTTAGCAGCATCCCTGGCCCCTACCCTCTAGATGCCAATAGCACCTACCCACCCCCAGAGTGACAACCAAAAACAGCTCCAGAAATTGCCAGATTTCCCTGGGGAATAAAATTGCCCCAGTAAAGAAGAATCACTGCCAGTACAGAATCACTGCTGTACCTTAGAATTATACCAAGAAAGCTCTGGCGTTGCAGCTTCATTTAGTGGAGATTACCTTTCAGTCCAAGTTTCAGTCGTTCTCTGAAAGGAGTGGAAAGGGGTCTCCGTCAGATACAGGGATTTAAGGACTCCCTTTCACTGAAATCTGCCCACGTATCCCCATCCTAATTTTCAGGGTCCCACTCTTTCCAAAGCAATGCCCTAACTTTGACAAAAGAGACTCTGTGAGGGTGGGAATTTTATGATTGTAGTGATTAGCCACTCACAGGATTAGTCCCTGTGTTGTGTTTTTCAAAAATATCAGCCTCACAGCTACAGGAGTTGAGTTTCTTTCTGGGAAGTCATAAAGCTTTCAGGTCCCCTCATCGGACTTTAAACGAGGAGTTAAAAGCCCTGAGCCCATCATTTTGTTTTCCCGAGTTCTCCAGCACACTTAGAAGAAACCAACCTAATTATACTTCTCTTTTCCACTAAATGTTCTATGACAGTAAATACTTGATCACCCAAAGCCTTGTTTTCTACAGGCACCTGATTAAGGGTATCTTATCTATAGGTGACAATCTTTAAAAAATGCTTTGCTAGCATGCCATGGACTGCTAGCATTGTCTTTACTACTGGAAAAAATGACCATTAATATCTTTAAATCTCATCACACCAGAGAACCAATTCGAGATGACCCAGAACCTATTCAGAGCACCTGCACTCATGGTAATGTTCCTCTGGAAGCTTCTGATACCAAAATCTGTATCAGTCAGGGTTCAACCAGAGAAGTAAGACTACGAGTGGTGATCTATACAAAGGGAGTTATTATAGAAACATGACCCTAACCAACTTTGGGAGCTGGTTAAACAGTCCATGTGAGGCTGTTGCTTATGTTTCTAATACTGGAGCCTAAATTTAGCCAGGCAGCAGTTGGGAAGGAAAAATAAACTGGAATCTGCAAGGAAGAGATGGAACCCACAGAGAAATAGAAACCTGAGTCAGTCTCTGACTCCAACTTCGATCATGGTGTGACCTGTAGGAGAAGCTGGCGCCGTCTATCATGGAGCTAATCCACTGGCCTTGTAGCCAAATAAGCTAAACGAGGAGCTCCGGAAGGAGCTGAACGATCTGTGGGTCTGACAGCTGCCCAGCAACGGCAAGGTGAGCCAGCAGATAAACAACACGCACAAGCTGTAACAGCACCTAGTAACCCTGCACCGAGCCTTCCAAGTGTGAAAAGAATACAGAAGCTATACTGCTTCAGTTTTACCTTCAAATCTCAAGCAAAATGTCTCTTGTGAGCCAAGCTAACTCAGAAAAAATGCAGGGATGGGAATTACAGTTTAGCTAACCTGATAGAAAACAAATCCCCAATAGATCTACATGGCTGCGAGCTGAGAAGTCAACGAGATGAAGTGAGCCAGTGAAAGATTTAAACAGGGGAGTAACGTAGTCAGAATGGCAGCTCAGAAAGATGCCTGCCTTATCGAAGCTCAAAAACAGGCAATATGAAACTGTTTGTTTAAACAGATGGTCACAGTATAAAGACAAGGAAAAAACCTGTTACCATAAAAGTCAGAACGGTGGTTATCTATGGAAAAGAGCGAGATACAGCCAGGCTTCTAGGATGCTTGCTATATTTTATTTCTTGACCCACAATTACAGGTATTCAGTCTACAACTGTTTGTTTATCTAGTCGTTTAACTTGTGTCTACTGTTTTCCATGCATATTATATTTCACCATGAAAAAAAATGTGAAAAGGAAAAAGAAAATGATTAGAGATGATTGGCAAAGGAGGGGAGAAAATAAAGACGGAGAGGCCAATGAGATGATGAACTGGGTCTGAATTAAAGCAGTAATGGTGAAAATGGGAGGAGATGGAGTCTACGAACATTGAGGACTCAGCAACTAAGTGCGTGGGAAAAGGAAGGAAGGAGGAGTCCAGGATGATTCCTAGGTTTCTGGTTTGGGCAATCCGATATAAGATGGGCCTTGCACTAATGTAAAAAATGAAGCAGAACAGGGTTGGTAGGAGAGTAAGTCCAGTAAGTACTGGACAAAATAATAGCTAATAGTTAATGAGTGTTTATGATGTGGAACCCACTCTAATTGCTTTATGTATCACTACCTCACTTAACCTTTTTTTGTAGGTAAACTTTATATTATTATCATTTTCATTCCAGTATAACATACAGTGTTATGTTAGTTTCAGGTGTACAATATAGTGATTTAATCCTAATAATTAATACCTCTTTACACCACCTGGTGTACTGTAATACAATTCAATACTGACGCCAACCACTGCAGCTCACCTCAGATGCCACAGGTTTAAGGACATGGTTCCCGAAGGGACCGCTGTTACTTCAGACACCAGCCATTGGGGGTTCCCAGGCCACCCGCCCTTCTGACCAACTAGCGACAAATTCAGGGGTTCCCAAGACTCCTTCAGGTTTGATATTTCACTAGAACAACTTGTGAACTCAGGAAAGCTCTATACTTACAATTACAGTTTTATTACAAAGTATACAGATCAGAAGCAGCCCAATCGAAACACATAGGGTATAGGTCTGGGAGGGTCCCAAACTCAAAGCTTCTGTACCCTCTCCCTGTGGAATGCCACCCTTCCAGCACATCAGTGTGTTTACCAACCAAGAGACTCTACGGAGCTTCAGTACCCAGAGTTTTTATTGTGACTTCGTTACGCAGGCACCATTGATTGAATCACTGGCCCTATGACACAACTCAGTCTCCAGTCCTGTTCCCCTCCTGGAGGTCTAGTCACATAGTTGGTCTTCCTGGCATGACTAGCCATATCCTGAAGTTATCTAGGAGCCCACCGTGGACCACACCATTAACGTAAACTCCGGTATGATCCAAGAGGCTCATGAATAACAAAGATACTCCCATACCTGGTAAATCCCAAGCATTTTAGAAGCTCTATGCCAGGAACTGTGGACGAAGACCAAAGTCTTTATTAAACAATACCCTATGAGGTAGGTACTGTTATAATCCCATTTACAGATAAGGAAATTGAGGCTTAGAGAGGAAAACTTTCTTGCTCACAGTCACGGAGGCTCTCTACTCCAGGGCCTGAACTCTTAATTCTATATTATACTGACTGAGGTACCTGTGGCAGATGTCTCTAAATTAGAGTACTCATACCCTAGGAGATGTAGAAGGAGATCCGTGGGTATGTAGGAAGAATATATTTCTATCTTAAAAACAAAAAGCTTTGGGGCGCCTGGGTGGCTCAGTGGATTGAGCGTCCGACTTCGGCTCAGGTCATGATCTCACACCTCGTGAGTTCGAGCCCCGTGTCAGGCTCTGTGCTGAGAGCTTGGAGCCTGCAGCCTGCTTCAGATTCTGTGCCTCCCTCTCTCTCTGCCCCAACCCACTTGCATTCTGTCTCTCTCTCAAAAATAAACATCAAAAAAATAAAATTAAAATTAAAAAAATTAAAAAACCAAAAAGCTTTACTAATAGACACACTGACCAATAGTACATTTATGTAAGTTTATAAATAAATGACCATTTTGAGGAGCAAGCTCAAATTACTGATTTGTGCACAATTTAAAAGTCTGGCAGCCACCTACCCATGTATGTGGAAATGCCACGTATAGTATAATGAATAGAAGTCTCATGTTCAGAAGAGAGATCTAATAACTTGCTTACCAGTGAAGCAACAGGTATGAGTGAGGCGAGAAAAGAGTTGAGATTGGAACTCCAGGGAACACCAACATTTAAAAGGTAGGCATGAGGTAAGAATTATCTGTGTCTAATAAGCATAGGGAAATGAGTTCTAGAAGTCTCTCTGCATTGGAGAATGTTATTTCCCTAGATACGACAGTGATTCAGGTAAGCATATTTTTGCCTTGGATCTTATGCATCTATGATAGTTACACTCCTGTTTCGTTAGAAAATTGTGCAGACGGCTGCCTCACGTGGCTACCATGTTAAGATGAGAACAACTAACTTACTGACCCCTTGTTCTCTGTGCGCTCTTTGAAGATATTAACAAGAGGTGTAAGAAAGCAGAAGAAAATGGAGGATTTAGATTAGACAATCTACTAGATATCTGAAGCCTTGATAATTGATACGGGCGGGAATGGGAGCTGAGCGGACTCCTTAACTTGCTTTGGGTATGAACATTTGCTGACATCCCCACAATTCAACGAGAACACTCTATTCCACACGCTATTTCCCCTGACTCCTTACCCTTTTCTGCATGGCCCTAGGACCTCATCCTGGTGAAAGACCCACATCTATGTCATCTGCCTAAACTCACAGCTAATTCACCCACTAGACTGTAATCCCCTAGAAGCAGTTTTGCTTCTCTTGAGATGCTGAGCATAAGCAGACACTGAATAGAGGTTTGCTAAGTTGAGGTGTCTATTATTTCTATTTTATTATCTAGCCAAATCTCCCCACTCTCTCTTTTTCACCAATATTTTAAAATTCAAATTTTAGGATGACATAGTAACATTATAAATTCAGATTTAGATTTGTACTGATCTTAATGGGCTCTAACTTTTTTGGGCTTCTTTTTCTGGAGCCACTTATATAATCTAAGCCAAAAGTTAGTGAGATGGAAGGCATTTGTTTGTTTTTAAATTAAGGGATAACGGGGCCCCTGGCTGGCTTAGTCGGTAGAGCATATGACTCTTGATCTTGGTGTTGTGAGTTCAAGCCCATCATTGGGTGTAGAGGTCACTTAAAAAAAAAAGGCACCTAAACTGAGGGACAGTTTTGGAAAAATACAAGCAGAATACAATAAATTCAGTGTTTGTTTCCCATAGATACCGTATTGATGTCTATCTTTTTGTTTCTAGGTGTTCTCTATTCTATGTATAAGGATTACATTAGACCTCGATTCTTCAATGTGTCCAAAAAATGAAGCTACATACAAGACAAGAAGGCTTCTGAAAACTATTTATTCTGAAGAATAAATTTTCAGTATGTAGTAAATTATACTGCAAAAGTATGAGACAGGATTCGCATAGCCTTGTATAGCAAGTCTCAATTGTTTATGTTGATTTCCAAATCAAGAGTCATAGTCAAGTCAAAAATATCCTTGTTGTCTTTCAGAACCTAGGACATGATTTTCTGACTTTTAGAATTTTTATTTTCTAGTTAGTGGCAAAAAATAATCTATATTACGTCAAACCAATCTGAAAATTGGGAGTTAGTTATATAATGGCTACAGAAAAATTATCTATATCTGTATTAAATGTGACGGTCTAGCCTGGGTGGCTCAGTCGGTTAAGTGTCTAACTTCAGCTCAGGTCATGATCTCGCAGTTTGTGGGTTCAAGCCCCACGTTGGGCTCTGGGCTAACAGCTCAGAGCCTGGAGCCTGTTTCGGATTCTGTGTGTGTGTGTGTCTCTCTTGCTGTCCCTCCTCTGCTCACTCTCTCTCTCTCAAAATAAATAAATAAACCTTAAAAAAAAAATGATGCTCCATTCATTGTTTAATTCTCTCCAAATAGGGCAAGGTAATTAAAGCTTTCATAAATTCCTTTTGAGAATGGGAAACAATTACATCAGAGGAGAATGGCCATGTTGTTATTTAAATTTGGTTTACCATTGTGTGCTTTGCTCTTATCTCAAAATTTGACTATTTTGCCACAAACATAAATGTTTAACATTTAAATGTCTATGTATTCATTTTTATACTTGAAAGCATTTCTAGGAGTACAAAGGTGAATTGCTAAAAAAAAAAAAAATCCCTTTTCCCCAGATGACAACGGTAGGGGTGAAAGGAATTAGTCCAGTGCTATTGCTAATCTGGTATGACACTCGAAAACACAGAAATCAAAACAGACATTAAATGTTAATTACACCTGTGACCTGAAACTCCTCTACAACTGCCCTAAGGTTCTAAAAAATTAACTATACTGTTGAAGTCATTACATCTGTGACTCAGATCTACCTTCTAAGACTCCAAGCCTGGGGAGAAAGGGAAAAAAAAAAAAAGCAAAACCAGAAACAAACAAATGAAAAAAGCATTCACTGAAAAAAAATCAAGAATGCATTATAAAATTATCTGTGGTGGTTACTTCCTTTTTGATGTTTCCTACAGTGGAGAGTTCATCTGAAAGGAAGGTGAAGTCTAGTATTTGGGAAAGAAACAATGTCGGAATATCTGAAATTAAGTCTGCAGTCCAGGCATTAACCCCCACTGTTCTGTGTATTAATTGGCACAGGCAATTATTTTTAAAATTGTCATTTGTACCTGTCATGGGGCTCTCCTAGTTCCACCAACAAGTATACATATTTTGGGCAACACTGTCCTCTGGGGAAAATAGGCAAGGCAAGAATCCAACGACTTTATTCCACTAAATAGTCCTGCAGCTGGATCTAATATGTTGCATGGAGGTCAGGGAGATTGAGAACAGCAGGCATAGAAATGTCACCCTTCGTGTTGATTCCACAATGGAGAAGTACTTCTATTCAGGGTCCTGGAAAGATTCCATTCTCTCAATGTATACTCTGCATTAAAAATAGACTTCAGTGTTTAATTAGAAATGGGCTTTTTTCAAAACACCCAACAGGTTCCAGAATTTTGTAATTTTACTGAGAGCTGAATATATTTATTGCTTGAAACAGAAATGCAAAGTATTTATTCACCAAGAATAGCTATGCATGAGAACTCACAAACTATATTTAAATTAACGTGTAAAATCATCTGCATAGAAAAGAAGCAGGATGCTCATTTATCCACTTTAGCTTGGGTTAAGAAGAGGGGTCACTGTAGGGACCCTACATATAGGTGAAATACAGTACCCGAACGAAGACAACACTTCTGGGGCAAAACTTTGGAGGCTTGATATCATAATGTTTAAAGTTGAGAAGGCTTTTTTCATTAACTACTGAAACCCCTGATGCCTCACTTGCTAAACTATTTCATTTGCCTCAATATGCTCTGCCTTTTTTTTTTAATTAAAAATTTTTTTTTCAACATTTATATATTTTTGAGAGACAGAGCACAAGCAGGGGAGGGGCAGAGAGAGAGGGAGACACAGAATCCCAAGCAGGCTTCAGGCTCTGAGCTGTCAGTACAGAGCCCAACATGGGGCTCGAACCCATGAACTGTGAGATCATGACCTGAACCAAAACTGACTGACTGCCTTTTATATTAGGTGGACATGTGGTTATGTAGCAGCAGCTGCCCAGTAACTATTATTTTGTTGTATTTTTTTGACATTCTGGATATTCATTGTCAGAGCATCCTCTTATAAATTGACTCCATAATGTTAAACCTGAGGAACTGAGTGAGTGTATGCTTCTAGGTTTATCTTACGATTGAATATGTTAATAGCTATAAAAGCATATAATATAAAATCCAGATTTGTAAATATAAATTAGAGAATGATTAAAAGTTCTAACTTAGAAAAAAAGTTTACCCAAGACTCATTCTTTAGAAATCAGTCTCCTCTACTGATCTTGGTGTGACTCAGTTTATCAACTTTTCAGATTACAGGAGTTGTATGACTTGATGGATAAATTTATAAACATTTTTTTCAATTTATTTTTATTTTAAGTAGCTTCCACACCAACATGGGGCTTGAACTCACGACCTGAGATCAAGAGTTGCATGTTCTACCGACTGAGTGGGCCAGGCGCCCCAAACTTAAAAGCTTTTGTAAACTCCAGTCTGTTCCTTTAATGTACAGCCATAGGATGGAGATGAGAGCTAGACTCCCCCAAGTACTTAGTCTCTGTTTAACCAAGCACTTCATCTTTTTATGAGTGGCAAAACAGAATTTTGTAACCTTTTTCTTCTTTCTCCTAACACTCTCTGGTAATGAAACTAACTACCTGAGAAACTGAATTTCCAAGAGAGGCAGGAAAATCCACATTGGTTCATCTAGAGTTGCTATCTGTGTATAAAGAATATAAAATACTGTGGGGCAGCTGACTGGCTCAGTCAAACAGCATGTGACTCTTGATCTTGGGGTCATGAGTTCAAGTCCATGTTGGGTGTAGAGATTACTTAAATAAATAAAATGTCTTTTAAAAAATCTAAAATACTGAAACTCATTTTAAAAATCTCTTTTTCAGGGCACCTGGGTGGCTCAGTCAGTTAAGCATCCACTCTTGGTTTTGGCTCAGGTCATGAGATCAAGCCCCACAGCAGTCTACGCAATGGGCATGGAGCCTGCTTAAGATTCTCTCTCTCTCTCTCTCTCTCTCTCTCTCCCTCCCCCCCGCCCCTCCCCTGTATGTGCGTGTGTGCTCATGCTCTCCCTCTCTTTCAAAAAAGAAATCTCGTTTTCAAATGAAAGCTAATAACTGATGTTAATTGTTTCATTTTTAAGATCAGAAGGACTCTAACCTACAAATGCTACTCTTACCAGAAGTTTCAAGGGCCTCTAAAATAGAAATGAGAGAATTTTTAAAAAGTATTACCTTAGACAACTCCCTGCCACTTAGAGGACCAAGTCTTTATAAGTGAAGATAAACGATGTCTGGAATTTTAAAAAGTCTTACTGAAAAAATACTAACTTTTATTTTTTTATTTTTTTCATTTTTATTTGTTTTTAAATTTTTTAATGTTTTTGTTTATTTTTGAGACAGAGAGAGACAGAGCATGAGCAGGGGAGAAGCAGAGAGAGAGGGAGACACAGGCTCCAGGCTCCAAGCTGTCAGCACAGAGCCCGACGTGGGACATGAACTCACAGACTGTGAGATCATGACCTGAGCCAAAGTCAGACGCCCAACCGACTGAGCCACCCAGGTGCCCAATACTAACTTTTTTTTTTTTTTAATTTTTTTTTTCAACGTTTATTTATTTTTGCGACAGAGAGAGACAGAGCATGAACGGGGGAGGGGCAGAGAGAGAGGGAGACACAGAATCAGAAACAGGCTCCAGGCTCTGAGCCATCAGCCCAGAGCCTGACGCGGGGCTCGAACTCCCGGACCGCGGGACCGCGAGATCGTGACCTGGCTGAAGTCGGACGCTTAACCGACTGCGCCACCCAGGCTCCCCCAATACTAACTTTTAAAATAAGACAGAGAGGTCAGATATTTCACTTTTAAGCTGAAAGAGGAAAATGATGCTCAAAGTCATACAAAAGCTGCAGGGTTTGCAAACTCAATGTCTCTGGGGCTAGAAGGAAACGAATCGAAGAAGTGTGTGCCACCCTGAGTATAGTCCATTAAAACGGACTAGCCACCATCCAGTTCCAGCCAACTGCAATTCCATGCAGGAATATAAGCCCAGTGTGGCAAATCTTCTTTTCAATCAGATAATTATGCAACATTTTTCCAATTTTTAAATATTAATTTTTATTATAAAAATCTTTTTTTTTTTTTAATTTTTTTTCAACGTTTTTTTATTTATTTTTGGGACAGAGAGAGACAGAGCATGAACAGGGGAGGGGCAGAGAGAGAGGGAGACACAGAATCGGG